GAAAAAACAGTGACAGTTATTGAACTCAACATTCCTAAAGATAAATGCACAGGCACTGTTTAATTGTCTCGCCTTTTTTGTCTTTTAAGATCGAGCCAAAGGCTTCAAGCGAAATGAGATCTGCCATTTTCAAGTCATTTTGGAGAAAGTTCCATGCAGAGGGAGCAGCAAAACTAAACACTCTTTTCCCGACCTCAGTGCGGACATGAGGAACAGACAGTTTAAAAACATCACAGAAACGCAAGGCATAGTGGCTTCTGGTTCTTTGAAGGTATGAACATAAATAAGAAGGAACTAAACAAAGAAGAGCTTTATAAATGAGATGAGAAATGAGTATACCTGCGCACCTTCAAGGATGGCCACGTTAATAACGTTACATGAGGACTAGTCACTACTATTGACTATCAAAGTGTCAATACAGCTTCCGGTTGTCCTCCCACTTGCAATGATCTGAACTCTACAAGAGTCAATACATTATGCTTTAGCAACCTTCTTTCATGTGCTTTCATATTTCATACAGTACGATTTTAAGCTGATAAAATGCTAACCGTGAGCAAATGTTTGTCATGTGTTTGCACCCCATGCTGCACTTCCTTGTTCTGCAAAAACCTAACAGAGATAGCAATTGCTTATTCATAACCCTTATAGAGCGCCACAGGAATGAGTCCTAAAACCCGGAAGTAAGTTAGTATTTCAGCACCATGGGATCTAACGTCTAAAAGTCAATGGGGATTTTGAATGGGTTTGTGGTTAGACGCCTGAAATAAGGTCTGTGGTTAACACAAGCTTAAGAGATGTTGCCGTTTTGTTAGACCACATAAACTACGTTATACCCCCACTTGTGAATTTTGACGTTTTTACACGTCTTTAAAAAGGCTGTTGCTAACAAGTGGCTAAATGACATTAAACATCATCACGCCGGACACAGAGGCCGGGAACTCTTTCACTGGTTGGAGATGTCTCATGTAGGTTTAATCTTTAGGTTAATGCTACCGCATAATATTCGCTACACAGATTAGTTTATCGGAGATCGTCTGAAGCATAACGCTAGTGACATAACAATCATCCGACCGTGGGGTAGTTCGCTTGTAGTATAATGTTAGCTTTTTACTTCTGTTGACCGCATTAACGCTTCAAACATCATAAAAATGGTGTTCATCTGTGAAGATCATCCTACTGAACAAAACGCCTACGCTTCAGAAACGTGCGTTTGCCACAGCTTATTTTCTGCAATGATCCAAAATCCAATGCAAAAATCCCATAGGCAAATTCTTGTTAGACCCCAAGGCGATGCTACTTCCGGGTTGGCCTACAAAAATACGTCATATGGTTTGTTCTCTATAGCCTTCTGGTTATGTTGCACGCCTCATGTCCTCATGAGGCTATAGTCCTGACTGCAGCGTCCGTGGGTTTGAAGCTGACGTTGTCCCTTTGCTGCATGTCCTCCCCCACTCTATCCTCCCAACATTTCCTGTCTCTTTTTAGCTGTCCTTGTCCAATAAAGACAAAAATGGCCAAAATAAAAACGCTGCCAATCCTGATTTATACAGAAGTTCTCCAGGCCTGGGAGGGTTCCCAGCAGAAAAGTTTATTATAAAGTTGAGATAGTGAGGGAGAAGAGAAAGTGAATTCATTGTTAAAATTGTAAAATGGCTTACTTTGACCACAGAGATTAATGTTAAAAATACAGCTACTAGTTGTCCAGCCTGGACTCTGATAGGATTAGAAAGCTAAGTTACTTTTTAAGTTGTCACAAACACACAAATCTACATCCAATCCACATATCAATTGCTCTGTTCACTGTGCATGAAGGTAAAAGGTCAGTGTTTACATTGGTACAGGACTATGTGTTAGTGTTTGTGTATGTGTATGTGTATGTGTGTGTGTGTGTATGTGTGTGTATGTGCGGGCGCGTATGTGTGCTGTCCAGGAATAGCAGCAGGGTCTGCTTCCTCTGTCTCTGTGTCCTCAGGGAAGAAGAATCTGCTGTGACCTCCAGCTTCCATGGTGCCCCATTGAGCCCTGACCCTGAAATGAAACATGGAGCTTACTAAAAAACAGTTAAGGTCTACTTTGGAAATGCTTGCAAACTTTTCCTCCGGTCAATGACCTGCTCAGCTCAAGACACAACATAGTTACAGAACACTATGACACAACAGGCACAGAAACATCAGGAGCAGCACAGGAGATAATTAAAGACACATGCAATATGTTTAGAATGTTCTGCATTAGGTGAGATGTGTTGGTTTCTATCATCTTTCTAACCTCTGCCCAATCAATTTTGCTTTCACTCATTAAATTAATTAGGATTTTAGAAATACTTTTAAATACTAAATCTTTGAGATATCGTGGGTAAAACGTGGTACAAAAGAACTCTTTCTACCCCCACTAGAAAATCTTGAAAGTCTAATAATACCATCACAGCATTTAGATATTCAAACTACTGCCATTTCAGCTCAATGAATGACTGTATTTTTTCAGTCAAACTCATTTCATTTCAAATTAAAGAGATATAAATCAAACATGGATAAAGATCATCTTGTTGTGTTGTGGAGTTTTCACAGACAGATAAGCGTCTAACACAGTAGTGTTGTTGTTTGTGGCGTGAGACACCTTTATTTGCATATTTGTACAGTTAATTATGTCGTGCAACAGATGCTTCCTTTCCACAAACTTCAATACATAGTTCAACAACACAGGTATTTTCTTATCTGGCCTTATGTACTCAAGAAAGTGTAAAGTGGAACAAAGCTTGACAGGAAACCTCGCTGGGATTAGCGACTAAGCATTGTTGATGCAAATAATAAGCATCTCTTCATGATTGCTTGTTGATATACCTTTCCGGTGGTGTTGCAGGTCTGGGATGGACCAACCAGTCAAATAAAAATATAGTTCACCTTTTTTGACACTTGGCAACAGGAAGCCTCATTGCTCGCTTTTTGTGGTGGCAGATAAACAGAAAAAGCAAGTGGAGAGAAACACGGAGAAGCTGTACTTATAGTTTTTCACATTGTTCTAGAATATATTAAACAATGAATTTCATTTAGTTTATGCTAACCATGCCATATGAGTGCATTGCCGTCAGTATGTTGTTTGGCTTGTTAATGGTAGACCCCATCTCGTATAGCTATATTTTATGTCCTTGCCGTTGGCTAGGCATTATGTCTTAATAAACAAAAAACAACTGAATAATCTCTGGGTTCAATGTTCTGGGCATGACCCCAAACTTGTACAAAATTGCATGCGTCAAGAGCTTTGTATGCCAGTTCAGTGAGCCCCATGAACCATCCCTAACTGACCCATTTGGTATTAAATCTACTTTTAGTTTTGCTGTTTTTTAAATGAAACGTTGAAATCCGTTTTTAGTCAACATATACTCAAAACTGTGGACAGTCTCATTCTATTTGGGTCTACTGGGTTTATTTAAAGCTTGTTCTTGGTTTCACATCTTGCAAAAATCTAAAGTCTTTTCAATTTTGTTTCTTGATGAACCCCCAAATATATGTGGTTTAAAAGAATCATTTCCCATGTTACATTTCTCATTTTGTGTTTCCTCACAAATCCGAACTCTTCGTTCCATGTTTTTATGTGTGCCTCGAAAGTTATTGATAGCCCTTATGACATAACATCTCATGACACATTGTTCTTGTTTTTCTAGTAGTCATCAGTGTATTTACGCTATTATATTTGAAAATGGCAATCCCTTTCTAACAAACTAAATAAAACATGTCAATATAATCAGAAATGGTTTGGGCCAGTAAACCTCAAAGCTATTTGTTTATAGGGCCGACATTTTTAATGTAAAATAATCACTTTAGGAAACAACTCTTTTAAATGTTTTAATTATTTTCATAATATAAGATGTGACACCATTATAATTAACAAAACATATCATGGCTCCATGCTTTCTCTTTAAGAGCATCCATGGGTGCCCAAGTCTCCTGTGTAAGTAGGTGGTAAACTCTGACTTCAAGAAGAGAGGAATAGGCAGGGGGCCCTGCCAGAAATTTGGGAAGGAGAGTCAAGTAAGCAACATGGGGATTTGGATTTCCTGTACCTTTCAGAGTAAAATGATTCATTTCTGACTGTGCCATTTTGGCAACATCATAGCCACTACAGTATCAAGTGACAATAATAATAGTATTGCAAATATCCACACAACTAAGAGTCACATAGTGGATCTGCTAAATGACCCAAAATCAGTCCCTGTCATGAACTTTCTGAGATAGACTACTTTTTTTAAACAATATTTTCTTTTTTGTTTCATGGTATTTTTTATTGCTGTAATTATTGTACAAAACATATTTCCAAGTGTTGATATAATTTCCCCTTAAGTTTTCTCAAGATTTCCCTCCACATTTTATTTGTTTTTGTTTTTACAACAGTGTTCAAGTTTTAGCAAAGTGTCAACCTCCATGTGTTACAAAATGAGGCCAATGCAGATTTGCAAAGATCTGCAGTTCCTCAATTATACTTGAAGCTGGCTGCTAAAGCAAGCATGACCCATAAGTTAAATATTAAAATGCTCTTTTAGCAACAGTTATAAACATATTTAAGCCTGGCTCAACAAATTTGGTATAGCTTAACACTGTACATGTGGGGTTTTATATAACTCATCTGTTTTGATTTAATCAAGCCTGAGATTTCATCATAAGCTTAGATAATCAGGAGTGTAGATGATTTGAGTAAAAGGTGGATTCGCTGTTGCGTTTTGCTGGGAATCTTAAGGCCCGGCTCAGTTCCACCTCTTGTATCAAGATTGATACAAAATTAGAGTTGAGATTTTGAGGGTTGTGCATTTCTCTTGTTGGGCTTCATAACCAATGGGTGACGTCACTGACTATGTCCATGTTTAATGCAGTCCATGCGTTTTATACAGAACAGGTTTGTTTCGCAAGTTCAAAAGTAGTCTCTTATTTTGAAAGCAAAAACGCGAGGTTTCCGGTATGATCCGGTTTCCCTTTCAGACGCGACGCCTGAAACTTCAGGAGGGAGGCTCTGTTCCTGTTAGGATTAAGCTAAGCACCATTCAAGAGGCACTCAGAGAGAAGAAGCGAGGAGCGTGAGAACAACCTGATCCAGCGGAGTCTGTGAAAGATGAGAGATGCACCGGGAAAAGGGGCACTGACAGGGGTGGAAGAGTAAGACATGTGCAGGGAGCAGCTATCGACAAGAGAGACGCTGAGATAAGACATATCTCGTTTGCATCCAAGTGAATCGAGCTGAAGTGAGAATAATTTGACTTTTGCAGTGAAGCGTCTAGAGACATGCGCACGAACGCGCCATTCTAAAATGAACCAACTTTTACGCACGGACCTTTGGAGATGCGGGCTTTATCTAAGGAGGAATTTCCTGCAATTTATAAACGGGAGCTCCTTATCTGGGAACTGTTAACTGGAATTTGGAAGGTCTTTCATTGTATTTCTTTTCTAAATCTCACATTTGGAGACATTTTTGGAATCTTAGTGGAGGCTTTGAGGTACCCTTCTAACATGCAGAATGATACAATATAAAGTAAGTGTTTGCCCATAGCCTTCGTATCGTAAGACCTTGCATTACGCACCTGTCCCACCAGCCTTGACGTCTCATTCTATGAGTTTTCAAAACAGCGGCATGGAAAGAGTCAGACGTCTAGCCTGCTTGTGAGTCAGCCTTGTGAGCAAACATTAAGACGCGCTACGCTTAATAGCAGTGACACATTTGAGGATATTTACCAGTGGCAGCCTTGCACCAGTGCACAGCACACGACCCCGAGACGAGGCTCGGCACAGACGGGGAGAATTGGACGCCGAGGTGCTAAATGCCCAGCCGGTCGCTTGCGGCTCCTCAGGCTGGGCGGCGACATGAGGTCCTGGGTCCTGCTGCTGCTGCTGGCTGCGCTCTCAGCGGCCCGTCTGCGGCTCGGCAGCGCTGAGGTAAGACCGGGGAATGTGCCGGTGAATATATCACCAGAAACTAACAGAGCTGGGTTCTGGGTTTTTTAATAGTCTATAAACGGCCTATTCAAAAAAGAAAAGTACTCGTGATTTATGGTTAATACTACTTTATCCGACAGCTGGTGGAATCATGTTGTATTTTTCTTATTTTACCATGAAGGCAGATTTAGTCAGCTTTGATTTGCAGCCTCAACAGCTTATGTCAGTTGAGTTTTCCATGCATCCCTGGTTCTTGGTACTTCGCTGATCTTTTACCATTGCTTAGAAAACTGCGAATCATTTCCAAAGAATCTATCAAAGCATGATCAAAATTAAATGTCCTGACTCAGTTGTCACATTAACAGCCAAGAGATGATGTCATATCTGGACCGGTGAGAATTTTCTTCACTCTGAAGGAGCATTTGACATACATCATCTCCACCATCCCCTGCGGTGACTCCACAAACTGTGGGGTGGATGTTTTGAGTAACAGTTTAACTGCAGGGCAAAACACAATGAACTGTTGTGTGTGTGTGTGTGTGGGTGCGTGTGTGTGTGGGTGTGGGTGGGTGCGTGTGTGTGTATGTGCGCGCGCGTGTGCATTATAGGAGTTCATTTGTGTGTGTGCCAGCCTGCACATCAGTGTAACTAGTTCTCCCTGCATGTGACTGTGCTCCGGGTGTCATATGAGGGATCTGTTTCTCTCTGCGGTTCCTTTTCATCTTTCATAGCCTGAAGTGACTCAATCAAGAGCCATACTGTGTGTGTGAGAGAGAGAGAGAGAGAGAGAGAGAGAGAGAGATTTATTTTTTATTTTTACACAATTTATTTGCCGCTCACATACAATGTACACATTTATATTAACATTTCAATTATTTATTTAAAAACTATTATTTGTTCTTTGTTGTTGAATAAATAAATATATACATCACATTGTCAGCAAATTCCCAAACTCCAGGTCATCATCTGCCACATCACATAAAACACTCTTAAAACACCACAAAGTCCTGAAAGTGTTCAGATCTACCGAAACCTTGTAAAAAATTAAAATCCAGGAGAATCCTGGACCTGATGAGTCCCACACACACACACAGTGACAGGGGAAGTGGTCTCCCCCCCCCTCCACCTTCCTCCTCCGGCTCACATACACCGCCATCTTGGCTCAGTTTGTTTCTGTTAAGTGTAATTACCATCAAACGATAAAAAGCCTTTCCTGAGGCATCCTTCAGAGAGGCCTGAGGACAGTGGTCCAGAAGGATACCTGCACATTTTTTCAAGTCCACATTGAGCTGGATGGAGGGGAAGGGGTAGTCTGACCAGAGGAGAAAGAGTCCAACATCTGGAGCCCGTGACCACTTAGTTTCTCCTTCCAATTATCCAGGAGCTTTTGGGTGACTCTGCTGGACCTCATTCCCAGTTTAACAGTCAGTCCTGCAGAGTTCTGCAGCTGGGGTCCAGCCAGCTCCACCACCTGGCCCAGAGTAATGACCTCTGCAGTCTGGAACAGAGACGATAGATAGGGGCTTGCCCAGCTGGGACAGTCCAGAATTGTCCCATGAAGGACCGGTTCCTGCAGCAGCCAGTGTAGGGAGTCTACCTGGTCCTGTCTCCGTTTTTTTACAAGGTTCCAGACATTAAAAACACTTTTAAAAACACTAGGCAGAGATGATCTGTTAAAATGGGTGCTGTCCATTAAAAACAAATTAAAATCCATACCCAGGTTATTAAAATGGTTCAGGATGCAGCAGGCTAGAGGTCTCCACAGAGTGGACCCTGACCACCCTCCTCTTTAGGGAGAAAAAGGACACTGTGGGATCCAGTGCATCCTGTCCCAAATAAAATCAACTAAAAGACGTTGTACCTGAGCTAGGAGAGAGGCTGGAGGATCCATGCAGGCCAGTCTGTGCCACAGGGAGGATGAGACCAGGTTGTTGGCGATGAGGGTCCGTCCTCTGTAAGACATCTTAGGGAGTAGCCATCTCAACTTATTTAATCTGCCTTTTACTTTTTCTAGGACCCCATCCCAATTTTTCTTTATACTGGTCTCATCCCCTAGGAAGACCCCCAGGTACCTGAGACCTCCTCTCTTCCATGTGAGTTCAGCAGGCAGACTGAGCCGACCCCCCAGCCTCTCCCCCACCATCACAGCCTCGCTCTTTCCCCAGTTCACCTTTGCAGAAGAAATAAAACCAAACATGTTAATAGTGTCAGTTAAAACATCAATATCTTTTTGTGAATTAAGAAGCACGATGAGATCATCGGCATACACAGATATTTTAAAAGACACGGGTCAGCTGGGGAAATACACACCTGTTCGTTTCTGTCTGAGTTGGTGGAGCAGAGGCTCGATGGCTACAGAGTACAACATGCCCTGATCTTGGCTATGAACCCAGGGTTGAATCCAAACCCGGCTAAAGTCTGCCACAGGTACTGGTGTTCAACCCGGTCAAAAGCCTTTTCCTGGTCTATGGAAATAAGACCAGTTTCTATGCCCAATTCACTGGCAACCGCCAGAACATCTTGAATTAAAGTGATATTATCACTTATGAGCCTGCCAGGCACACAGTAGGTCTGGTCAGGGTGGATGATGGACGCCATCACCTCTCTCAGTCTGAGGGCCAGAGCTTTGGACAGAATCTTATAATCCGTGCACAGCAGAGAGAGAGAGAGAGAGAGAGATAGATAGAGAGAGAGAGAGAGAGAGAGAGAGAGAGAGAGGGTTAGAGGCTGATGGATCATAATTCTAGACTAAACTTACCAATATGATTAAAAACAAAAATAGGGGAATCTAACCTTTTTTTATCTGAAAGCTACTTTGATGAAATGAAAGTGGCCAATAGCTACTTGGATCACACCCCTTGTTTTTATTTACATAAAGTTTCAAAACATATATACATGTATCCATATGTCAAATGTCTATGCCAAAGCTAAAAAGTGGCAGAAGCTGGAACAGGATTACCGTTTTATTGACAGCTAATAGGCCTCTCTATATTATTTTTTATTGTAGGGGGCGGGGCATCGGTGTATTTGATATTATTTAAAGTGGAGAGACTCATCAGATATTTAGGGCCGGTCTGTTAACTACTTGGTGAGCTTCAGCAGCAACGTGTTAGAGACCCCTGAACTGAAATATTTATCAAAGGTCTCAAAGGGTCATAGGTATCAAAGTGTTTCTATAGCCTCAGCCTCACCATTCAAGCCCTTATCTGGTCATGTCCCATCTCTTTTTTCTGAAATGTGGATTAGCTGTCAGATGGCTTCTGTCTAAGCTTGGCTTGCTGTGTAGTGATTATAACAACCTGTCATGAGGCTGCACAGTGTGAGTTAAATCAGCGTTATGAATTAAAATTGTTTGACATTGCAAGAAGTTATCGATCCATCCAATACCTCTTCTTCTGTTGGGCGGGGCAGCTACAGTACAAACTGCCAACTCTGCTGAGATTTTGTAGCTTTCTTTCTTCCACCAAGATAGGAAACTTATTGCATCTCATCCTAAAAGGTATTTTATTCTGAAAGAGTTGGAATCTATGTTTGGAGATTGGGGAAGATACAACTCACAACGTATATAAATAAGACATATAAGATGCTATGAAAACTCTATGAGCCCTTTAAGCCTTTGTTGGAGTTTAACCTGGGATGCTGTTGTCTGCAGGATAATTACGGAAACTGTTAACATGCTTGACACCATGTGCACGATGAGTTATGCTGCAGCCACACTATCAATGACATCCTTGGGACATCTGACTTTTTTACATTTTAAGCAACACTGACTTGCCACATGACCTTCTAATCCTCCTCATATCACCATGTTTGGAAAAAAAATTGTGTCAGCTTTGACGTCCAAGTCTTCCACATCTGTCCGTGGGAAAAGAGTCAGTTACCACCTTCTCAAACACAGATTGTTCAGCAAAGTCACCACAAGTTCATGGAGATCGATGTCATGAATACATCCAGAAAACTTGCTCATAATATCTAGAGAAATAACAATTATTTTAAGCATGCAACCCAAGCATTATACAATACAAATACACAAACATATACTTTCACACGGCGAGTTATACAAAAAAGGAAATACAGGCTCACAAAAACCCTCACACATCAGGTCAGACCTCAATTCTCTCATCATCTGCTGTTCAAAAGACAAATGCTACATCAGCAGACACGTCATGTTACACACAAATACACACAGCTTATTGGTGGCTTTTGAACAGGTTGCAGTCAGACTATTGTCTCTACAGAAGAGCTTGGATGATTTGCTGCTGCTGGCTTGATCCATTTTACATAAGAACAACAAATAATCTGCCAGGGATTTCATGGACGTAGTGTGTGTGTTTGTGTGTGCGTGTTTGTGTGTGCACGCGCAAACACATCTGGTTACATGGCCTGCTGCTTATGTGTTAGTGGACATATGTGCTTGTGTTTCTGTGTGTGGACAGCAGAGGGGTGTGTGTGTGTGTGTGTGTGTGTGTGTGTGTGTGGGGGGGGGGTTGTGCATCTGTGCAAGCATGGGATGTGTGTCAGATAGAAAAGCGCAGTGTGCATAAGAGTATTTGTTTGTAAGCTCTGTGTTGTGCAGAATTAAAATGTAGTCAGAGTGCAGTGGAAGGTTTAATATAATAGCATTGATCATTATATATTTTTTTGTTGGTATTTTTGAATTGTGGATAATGGTATTACATTATTTAAAAGATAATATCAAACAAACTGTATAAAAAAGGTCAGCTATAGAACTTTTACTAGAATCAGTGTAGACTTGGATCATTAATATTAAATCAGAGCTGTAAACAATGTGATTTCTGACTTATTTTTACATTTCAATAATGACACAATAATATATTTCTCTGGATAAAGGTTAACACAGCTTTGTAAATTATGCAATACATTTAGATCACTTTTAGTTATGCAGTGGGACAACTCCAAGCTGAATCCAAAACTCGTCTTAATAAGCCTGTGGCTGCTTCATATTAAAAAACCTCCCGCGACGCTTCATTGCTGTCAAT